GAGAGAGAAAGAGAGAGAGAGAGAGAGAGAGAGACAAACAGACAGAGAGACGGAGAAAAAATAACGCACTATCATTGATTTTTTTCTCCATAAAAACCGAAAGAATAAATTACGTTATTTTTGTAAAATGAAAGATATTAATTTCTACCTGATATGCATCCGAGCGAGAAGAAGAATTTAATGTTTCAGTACGTTCCATTCCTTGTGTATCCGATAAATATTGTTCGGATCGTAACAAGGTTTGTTGACATTGTCTCTGTTCTTCGTATAGTTTCATTTTTGTAACTTGCTTCGTTTCATCTCCATTAATAATAATCGATTTTAACGATCGATCAGATCTTTCCTCGTTCGATAGTTTCGTTATTGTCGATGATAATAGCTCCGATATTACTGGCATTTCCTCTTGATGTTGTTCTTTAAATTCAGTGATCATTGGTGAAGATCGATGATCAATGTTACAACGAGAAATATCGATAGATTCTTGCGCGGTTGATACTTCCGCAATCTCCGTACTCGATATATTTGGGACTTGATGATCGACCAAAGTAATCACCTGTTGCGATTCTTTACTCTCATCGAACGATGAAACGATATCGGCAGGAGTCGAAATTATCGATATCGATCTTGCCTTTGGATTTATAGCCGAATATTCCGCAGTGAGGAAGGATTGCGAATGTGGATGAGATTCGTTTCGATTCTGGCAATTTTCCCCGGTATCGTTAATAATCAAATTATCGATCGATGTAGATTTTGGCTGAGATAAAGCCAGGGATCCCGAGAAAGAGGGCTGTCGTTGCTCTATCAAACTGATCACTTGCGAATTTTGTTGCGATTGTATCGATTGAGGCGAGCATGGTAACGGAACAACAATCGGTGGTTCTGGAAATAATTCCGCTTTCAGATTGGGTAGAAATGCATCTATCGTTCTCCAAGTCGGGGCCCATAAATTTGATGTCGGAGCTAACACGTTGGCAGAAGACATAACCAATAACATGTTTTTCAATGATTCCGGTATGGCTTCGAAGAGAAGCTCGCTATTATCCGCGTGCATATAAGCACGAAGTAAGCTCAACACTGTTAGCCAGAGTGGTAAAAATCCAGGTAGAGTCAGTAATGGATTCAAATGATGAAGAAATACCTTGGATAATAACATGGCTGCCCTGACCCTTGTCTCTTCCACGCCGATAGGATCGTTCGAAGCTATCGGACCGAGTAATTGAGCCAACAGAGGGAACAAAACTTGTTCCAAACATTGAGACCACTCGATCGCCGATAATTGTGCCAAATCGTGAGCGAGCAGAGTACTTTGAAGATACGTTATAGCTGCTGTGCGTACCTGTCTACGAGCATCGCAACACAATCTTGCAATTCCTTGTAACAAAGGTCTCCATACCTGTAGCCATAAAGAATATTTTCCGTAGCATTACCCTCTTCGGCCCACCATCGAAATACTTGAGCGATTCTAGTGTGAAGCGTATGCATTAAATCTAACAATTGTATGGGACTTTGTTGATAAGTGGTAGCAACACCAACTTCCTCCTGAATATTGAGCATTTTGTTCCTTTTTCCTGTACATTGAAGAACTGCTTCGGCAAATGTTCTCACGCAACGTATACATAATTCAAAGTTAAATGGAGTTACATGAGCCACGTCTCTGACTAGGAATGTCAAACTTTCGCAACATTTAACGAGGGCAGCAGGATCGTGAGGTTGTAAATCACGATCTAATACAATCGTGTCAGCGGCAACAGGTAACGGTGCTTCTGTCCCTGTTGGAGACACGAGTACCCATTCGGGTATAGGACTGATCGGTCTAGGATCCAACATCGATGTTCTAGAATTGGTCGCTTCGTCCAATACGGTGTTCGATTGTTTCGGCATTAATGCTCCAGCACCCGCACACTCCAACAAACTGAATACTACTTTCCAATCTTCCGTGCTATGAATATTAGCTGCGCCTGTTTTAAGCAACTCGAACAAACCGTAAGCGATCTGTCTCGCAAGTGGTGTGCTTGTAGCGGAAGGAAGATGAGTTAAAGGTAACAAAGGCGGCAAAACGGTACACGCGTATTCTTCTCCCCGTAACAGTCTAATTGCTAATCTCAACATTCCAACAGCAACTCGCTCCAAAAGATATGGATGATTTTCACGCGCGGCAATTGTCAATAATCCGTCTAGATGGCCCTGTACTATCGGCCAAATACAAGTTACTCTGTCACGATTTTGAATAGTTACTTCCAACAAAAGTTCCAACAGAAACACTGATACATCTTCATCGTGAGAGTTTGGATATACCAAAGCACCGACAAAAGATCGAAGTGATTCAACCTGCAAGAACTTACTTTCCTCGATGATTTGTTTAAGATAACAATTACCAATAAATTCCGTAGCTCTTTTTCTTGCGGTTGTTTCGGCTGGATGAGACATGCGTGAAGTATCCAAAGCTATATAAGAATATAAACTGGATAATATTCCCTGATCTACCGGAGCTGGTTTCGGTGTAGTTGGTTCTCGAAGTAACGATATCCTTCCGGATGGATCGATAAAATCTTCTCCTTCGGTCAGACTTTTCGGCAATAATCTTGCCTTGTATAACGATTGCAAACAATCGATGATATTTTTCCACGAGCCTCTTATCGCATCTCCATATATGTGAGTAATTTTGAAAAGAGTACGCGCAGCTAACTGACACTTGTTACTTCCGCCAAGCTGTAAAACCACTTGTTCGGATTCACCACCGGTCGCAAGACCCGTGAATTTACACAAGCTCACTACAAGAGTATCCAAATCGCTGCTCATCCCATAATGAGCACTGATAGAAGCGCAACTATAAAGAAAAAACGCGACTTCATTCTTTCTAACATATCACTATTATTTTTTATCAATTATCATTTCAAAATATTCAATTCGAACATGAATATAAATATAAATATAACGAACCGATGGAAAGCTTCGGCGACTCGACGTTGCAACGATCTATCGGGCGCTTTATCATATGCCCTGCAAAGCGCGCTTATAATAGGGCCCCATGCCCGTTCAGCTAACTCCTTATCCACGAATTCACCAGAATTTCCAATCCTTAGATACAAACTTTCAAGTCCAATACCTCTACGTAATAATACCTTCCATAAATAATTATCTTTCACCAAACCGGTTTGTTCGGCAGGCATCACAATTTCTTCGCCCCTAATAAAAAAAATATTACACGTATCTTACTTTTTCATAAGTATAAATTATAAAATTAAAAATTGAGATAATTATGATCGAAAAGTGTAAAAGAAAATTTTACTTAATAGAGGCATATATTTCGTCAAGCATTCCTTGATCAAAGTCAGTACCGCCATTCACTTTTTTTAAATTTCTTTTAAATTCATCAGCCGTCATGGGATTATTTTGTCTTTTCACATTGTAATTATGCTGATCAACATTCAACATAATTACAGCATATGCTAAAGTAAATGCAGCATCTGCCGATGCAAACGGCCTTCCATTACTGTCCTAGAAAACAACAATACGCGATCCTTTTTTACATTTTATATAATTTTTTATATTATTATTATTATTATTATTATTATTATTATTATCATCATTATAATATTTATATGTTATGTTATTATTTATATTGATATTTATTTATACACAGACACACACACACACACACACATTATATACATATCAAATGGAAAACCAAACTCACGTGCCAATGTTCGGCAAATTTTTCGAGCAACAAAGAAATAAGTGGCGCTTCGCCAGGAAGTCTGAAAGATTCTAAATAAAGTCGTAAAGCTTGATCGATTCGCATATCCTTCAAATCAAAACTATGAACGAAACAATTTAAAACATTTTTATTTTCCTTTTTGCTAATGTATTCCCCAATAGCTTTTTTATCAAGACCAGGATTTTCCTTCAAAAATTTAGCTACTTTCTCTGGATCGGGATTTCCCGGACTTCCACCCAAAAGATTATGTTCCGTAAGTTTAGCAATTCCTTCTCGTGGATTTTCATTGAATTTTTCTGTACCAAGCATCAACCACTATGTATAAAAAGAATATATATTTCTATGATTTTTCAACGAGAAAAGTAGCAAAAAAACGAAAAGAAAAGAAATTGTAAAAATAAAATAAAGAATAAAAAAAAAACATGCAAGAAAAAAGAAAAATATAGACGAAAAAAAAAATGTATCGTAATTAAATACAAACCCGTTTATTTGCTTTTATACTAAGCAATTCCTCTCGTGTTGGAAGATTTGGTGATGCATCATGTCGAGATGGTTTACACAAATCTTTGTAGCCTTTACATCTGATTTCCATTCCAGAAATCAACGTGAATATAGCATCCAAAGAAACAAATTGCATATTTTGCATATTACCCATTAATGCGGAAGCATTCTAATAACGAAATGTAAATCGAATACAATTTTTAACAAATAAGATAATATATTAATATAAGTATATTATATATTGGTTTTTTTTTTTTCTATTATCATGAAATCAAGGTATACCTTTGACAATAGTTTCATTAATTCTTCGTATAAATTAGAAGAATACAAGCCGCAATCATAGTTCAAATATAATTCTGCTGGTAAACCGGGTATTCTCCATAATCGTACAATAGCTTCTAAAGTTAAAAAAAAAATTAAACTTTGTTGCGTTATTTTAATTAAATGACATTTCATAAATAAAGTTATATAATAATAGTTATATAATATTCGTACCGAGAGCTAGTTCACGCTGATCATATGATATCCTATTCGAATCTGAACTTACTATTTCCATTAATTTGTTTATATGATGCTCCATTTGGAATTTCAAATGCTGCCTTTGAGATTCAAATAGCAAGAACGATACTTGCAAATCCGCTGCAAGAATCGACAATCGATCTGTGCCAAGAAGCTATTAAATACAGTTATAATTATTATTTATTTTCTTATGTTTCTATTTCCAAGTAAATTTAACAAAAATAAAGATAAAAGACTTAACAAAAATAAAGATATCGCATCATTACCAAAATAAGGTTTCTACAAAGATCATCTTTCACAAGTGCCAGTAATGACGGAAAATTGGAAAGATGGTCAGCCGCAATTTCTAAAGCTACTTGCAATAAATTGAGCCCAAGATGTGTCATAACTTCGTTATTTTGTTTATCGAGAGGACTACACAAAGATACGAGAAATCTAAATAATTCACGGACACACAAAGCACCATAAGGTGCTAATTGTTGATGTGGCATAAAACGAACTCCTTGGGCATTTATATATTCTTCGATTTGTTCAGATTCTTTGGTTTTAGATGTTTTGTATGCATTATTTATATTTTCATCGACTGATATTAAATCTTCGACACTTCCTGCCAAAGATTTTATCGAATCTATATTTTTTTTATCATTTATCGATTTCTTCATGTCCTCTATAAAATCAACAGAATGATAATTAAAATTACGATTTAAATTATAATTAAAACAAGCATTACCTTGATTTCCTTCATTTAATAAATTTACCGATTTAGTTTCATTGTGTTTATCCATTTCTATATTGTCTATATTTTTATCTTCTTTCGATAAAATTTCTTTTTCATCAATCACATTTCCTTTCTCCTCTGTTTCACTACAACTTTGCTTATTACACTCTTTCAAATCTTTTATATCTTCCTTCTCTTTTTTTATATCAAATATATCTCCCTGCTTAATAGTTTCGTTTACATCATTTAAATCTTTTTTGTTATGATTTTTGTTATCATTCTTTTCTTCCTCTGTTTTTTCAATGCTACCTTGATCTAAAGAACCTTGCATATCAACAATATTTCCTGTCGAATTAACAGGCGTCGTCAAACAACTCGACCTAATTTTATCAGTTGGATTTGGAAGTGGATCTTCAATATCTCCTATATTATCTATATTCTGTTTTGCCTTTTGTTTACCATGATTTTTATTTCTTCTATTCTTACTTCGATTATTTTCTATACTATTTGTTCTCATTTTCTAGAAGCACACAACATGTTAAATAAAAAATATTATATTCGACCGATATATTTAATAAATCTTACTTTCATATTTAATAAAACTCTAGTATCATCAACAAATTGAGGTAATCGTGTGAAAAGATGTTGTACCATATCTCTTAAACAATGCTCTGCTGTCCTTCTTAACAATTCTGTAACCAAAAAAATATTGTTGAAATTGAAAAATAATTTGAAATTAAATATTCAAAATTTTCTTACCACTAAGTCGTGTTTCAAAACATATCCTAAAACAACTGAGCATAATTTCACAAATACTTTCGTTTGAAAGATAATCACCGGCTGGTGATAACATAAGAGCCCTTAAAACTTGAAGAATTCTCATTAAAACAACTCCATCTCCAGATGCATCAGTCCCAACAAATCTTGCATGCGTAACAGCATCAGCAATAGCTTCTACGCATTGGGCTACTGCTGGATGATCTGAATCTATGAAAATTATTTATTATTTTAATATATATATTTCTAAATATATTTTTAATATATAACGAATAAAATAATGGATATTTACCTATAAGACTATAAGATATCATTTTATTAACAGCAGACAATGCAAGACTTGTAACAGGTCCAGTTGTTTCTTCTGATCGTATAATCTCTAAAAATGGAGCCAAAAAAACACCTGGATCTAAACAAGATATATCTTTTGCTTCATTCAGCACCTCTTTTAAACTGAATAATCCTTTTATAAGAGTATCTTGATCGTCATCCTTGAAAATGGCATCAAAATATGCAAAATATACAATTTAGAAAAATCTGAATTAAAATAATTAAAATGATAATAATAATATTCATATTTTCATATCACTACTATAATCTGTTTTATAGTAGTTATATTATAAATCCAAATAATATGATACAACAACAACAACATAATAATAATAATGATGATAATGATGATGATGATGATGATGATGATGATGATGATGATGATGATAATAACAAATTATATATTTATATATATATATATATATAATCTAATACATAATTAATTATAATAAATAATTATAATTATGAGAAAACATAAGATTTTTTTTTTATATATAAAAAGAAGCAAAAAATATTCTAACCTGATGAGAGTGAGAAGACCATCGAGCACCTCGTCTCATAGCCGTTACCAAGAGGCAAACCTCACTCTCGACAACATATAAACCACCACCAGGATAGGCCATTTTCACAATTCTGCCCATCTTTTTTAGAACACTTGTCATTTACACCATTTTTTATTCCGACGAAACCTTAGAAAATATTCAATAATTCGTAAGTGTCAAGGGAACACTTTCAACACGATAGTCATTGAATTGTCGCTTTAAAAGAAACGTTCAAAACCAATAATAATGTGCCATCTAGCGTAAAAATTAAAAATTATTTACATGTATTACATTTATATAAATATAAATAATATCATAAATAATTTTCATAAAAACACAAAATCTTATATTTTCCATTAATTTTAATATCATCTTCAATTTTAAAATATAAAATTCTAAATTTAATATATTCTAAAAAATTAGTTTTTATTTAGAAATTTTATTGAAGAAGTTTATCAGTGATAAAATTTCAATAGAAAAAAAAAAGTCAAAAAGAATATAAATTATTCCAATTTATAATTTAATTATCAATTAAAATTTATTATAGATAATGTATAAACATTTTTCATGAAAACAGTACACTTTGCTATTGAGATAAGCATATATTTTTCCAATTACCATTCACCATATGCATGGCAAGTTAAAATATTATAAAAAAATTTTAAATAATTGTGAGTATATTATTTGTTAATTGTAAAAATATATAATATGTGAAATAATAATAATAATAATAATAATAATAATAATAATATAAATATAAATTGTATATTATTAATATATAATTATATATTAAATTCTTTAAATAATATTAATTTTTATCACATATGAATTAAAAAAATGTGTAATATGTTAAATTTTTGTTAATTTCATTTCTGAGTAAAATAATATGTAATTAACAAATATAACAGGTAGAACTGAAAATTATAAAATTTATACTCAAATACTCATTGCATTAAGAATCGATTACTTTAGCGACGATATTTTGTTTAAGTAATAACCTAGAAAAAAAAACTTAGCTTTAAAATCTTTTCTTTGCATAATCGTTTTGCATTTTTTTTTTTTTTTAATTAAAGATTTAAAATAAATCAATATGCATAGAATATCTTTAGATTTTATGAACGATATGTCGAAAATAATTCTTAAAAGTAGTCTGGCTTACGTAGTCGACAAGAAAAATTATGTGACAGCTGTAAAAGGTCCGAACGACCGTTAATGATTTTTAATTGTTGAGAAAATGTTGAATTTGTAATAATTATTTTAAATGAAAATCAAAGCATAAGATTCATTGTTCTTTCATACTAACGATTTTATGAATTTATTACAATGAATTTTTATTTTCAGCACAGAGGAAAACGCGATGCCTACAACAAAAGAGGAAGTTAACCAACTTATTGCATCTCATAGCATTGTGATATTTTCTAAAACGAGTTGTCCATTTTGTAAAATGGCTAAACAAGTATTAATCAAATAATTTTTTTATCTTCATTTCAATTAGCATAATATGATTTATTTCAGGTATTTCATAATTTGCAAAAAGAATATACTGCTATCGAATTGAATGAAAGAAACGATGGAGATGAAATTCAAAGTATATTAGGAGAAATGACTGGAGCTAGAACAGTACCTAGGGTATTTGTGAATGGAGTATGCTTAGGAGGTGGAACAGACGTGAAGAAACTTTACGAAACTGGAGAATTACAAAAAATGTTTTAACATATTACTTCTCATATTCTTACTACTCTTACTATTTATATCATAATTTTATATACTTCTATTATTATATTGTTAATTTTATTAAATAAATAAAAACAACAAAAAATATTGTAACTTTAATCTTTGCATTTCTATAATAATGATTATAGATAATTATTATTAGTCAAGTTAAAACAAATTTCTTATTAAGATCATTTTTAATTTTAATTTAAATAAGTGTATGAGCTTACACATACAAATGTATATGTGTATATATAATGACAAAAGTTCTTATATTACGAAACTATTTCGTTGTTTGTCACCACGTGTCCACAATCAAATATATATTTATATGAATCAATTTGTCTAAAAATACCTGAACGAGTAGTGAAATAACGGTATATCATTAAGGGCATCGAGAACATATAAAAATGGATTTTTCTCAATATCGAAAAATTCTAATTTATATTTTGACTTTTTTGGCTTATGCGTGGTCAGGTTATGGAGCTGGTTTATTATCGAATTTAAAGGATGCTGTATTAGCAGCAGAAACGGTATTTCAAGATTTATTCCAAAATGCGATTACTGTTGCTAGAAAAATCAGGGATATCCATGAAGTATTTGATGCAGCAGTGGAAGAAAATTGTATTTTTCAATGTCCAGGAGGTATATATATATTTAACCTATTACTAATCGTTTATAGATAATTTTAAATTTTTATTCTATCGTACTTCACTCCAAAATATGATGATTTGTCAAAATCTATAGCGATAATATTATAACATGATAATTTACGTATTTCATTTTATGTTTATTTTTTACTTTGTTCTCAACATATTATGTAATTCATATAATTATAAATAATATACCAGAAATTTGTTTTGCAAGATATATTCACGATTATATACTTATGAAATAAATATTAGATATTAAAAACTATCTAATATTTATTATATAAATTATTTTCAATATAATTAAATCTAATTGGTTGTTGTTTATTATATATATATATATATTTATATAAATAATAAATTTATAATATGAAGATATATGCATATATTGTTTATGACAATTTCAGGTATAACACCGAAACCAGATTGGAATCATAAACCGCAAAGTAACGGATGTGGTTCTCTAGGAATCGAAGTAGGCAAATTTTCGAAAATAGAGACACAATATCGTAATGTATTATCATAATAAATAACAAGAAAGAAATTAATCAAATTAATAATTTTAGATAAACCAAGAGTATCTACCGCTTATAGAAATGACGAAATGTTGTGATGCGCATGACATTTGTTACGATTCTTGTAATTCGGATAAGGAAAAATGTGATTTGGAATTTAAAAGATGTCTATATAAATATTGCGATGGATATCAATCGTCTGCAATAATAAATACATGCAAAGCTGCAGCAAAAATGCTTTTCACCGGTACAACTGCTTTGGGATGCAAAAGTTATATAGATGCGCAAAAAGAAGCTTGCTATTGTGGAGAGAGATGGAATAAGAATAAGAAACCGAAAAAAGCTGCTCAAGCAGGTGGAGAATTGTGAAAAAATGGCGTAATATGCCAATTAAATGAAACGTATTATACGTTTCGTTTATGAATCTTTAGTAAAATAATTATACAATTTTGTATTTATTTTTATATTACGTACGTGACATTACTTTAAACATTAATTTATCGAAAATTGTACTATACGAATAGTTTACACATTCAATAATATACAAGATTATATTATTTAATTAAATATAATATTAATATTATATAATATTTATATAAAATCTCTCTTAACCTTTTCTATTTCTTCTTGGAGAGAATCACCAAATTCGAAAAATTGATTCATAGAAAATTCAAATTTTTATTTACTCGTTTGTCTTGGAAAAACAAGGGAAGGTACGCTTTTCATTGACAATGTCACTTCAATTTCAAAGTTTTTGAGAAAAGTTTTTGCAAAAAATTGTCAAGTAATGCGGCGTACAACAGGAATTTGCTAAACGATTGCGACAGAGTTTCGGGTAGGATGGGAAATATTGGATCCATACAGTCATCGAAATCGCGAAAAGAACGAAAGCGAGAAAGTGGTGACAGGTAAGACAATTTTTGATTTACTTCAATATCTTCGTTTGTTACCAATAAAATTAACGATACCGTATTAACGAAATCAAGTATAAAAGATAGTACATAAAAACGTACTTGCATCTTTTACTTTTGGGTAGCGTAGATGATCGTCCCGGAAAGAATAAAAGAATTGTAAATGGTTCCGAATCCCGAACCAATGGAAAAGAGAAAATAAAATGTCGTGCAACTAATCCTTTTATCATCTTTTTTCTACAATTACGAAGTAAAAAACCTAAGGAACACGTAACTGTGATTGCACGAGCAGCAGGGAAATTATGGACTCAAATGAGTCCAGAACAAAGAAAGAAATATATAGATTTGGCAAATGCTGAAAAAAAAAGACGACAAGAACGTAAAAGAAAACGAAAGTCAAGGTAATCTAATCTGTGTTTAAAACAAATATATGTACATTTGTTGTTTTTAAATATATCTAATAATAATTTAATAAAATTAATATAATTTGTTTAGAAGAAAATAGAAAACTGATATATGAAAAATCACAGGGTAAAAACTGAAACAAATTAAACAAGTGCAAAATTGTTCTTGCTATGCGTGTATCAAGCCACGCTCTACAAGTTTTTAAAAGTCTTTTATTCGTATAAAATATTCTCTCGAAGCCTTTATTTTTGATTCGTTTTTATTTGTTAGTAGTTTTTTTTTTTGTTAACTCTATGTACAATAAATATTGATGTATTTTTACACTATCAATGACCTTTTTTATCATTCAAGAATTATGCTAAAAACTAGGCAAATTTCCTTGCCTCTCGCACTTATAGTCTCATCTGAAAAAATTAAATTCATAACATACTATAAATATATTATTTGTTCGCGACCATTCCCCGAAGCGTCGTGGACAAGAGGGAAATTACAATTGAACGTACACCACGAACGAGCACCATTTTACATTTCCCATAAAGAGGTCGAAGGAATCAACATTTCATCTTTTATAATTCGATACAAAAAATAATTTCAGCGTAATTCTTTCGACGCTCCGTGGAAGAATTTTACGCAATTATTATTTTTTTCGAAATTAATATGTGCCCTCCCGCTCAATAATAGAAAATAAAAATATTACATACAATAGAGAATAAAGAATGGATATACGTGTCTATGTGTATGCGCGCATTTTTGTACACGCGTGTGTTGTCCTGCATATCTGTGCACGTAAATAAAGAGCATATAGACTCATTGCCAGTAAAATCTTATTCATATTAATGACATGATAGTGATGATAATAGTGATTATCGTGATAATGACGATGTTTACATCGACAACAACGGCAAAATAATAATAATAACAATAAAAATAATAATAATAATAATAATAATAATAATAATAATAATAATAATAATAATAATAATAATAATAATAATAATAATAATAATAATAA